TGCATGGGCGATGCAACTACTTAAGGACCAGGGAACGAAGGATCGTGGTCATCAGTCTAATCTACAGTGCCTCGCAGAAGTCTCGTCCATATGTTCAAAGAAGAAATTGATTATTATTGTGATTGATTATCATTGAGAAATATTGTAATTGATTATCACTGTCAGTTATTATCAACCTAATATTGTGTCAAGACTATATGCCGAGTGGCCAATCATTATAATTATTAAGTGATCACTGAATATTGAGTAATAAATATTATATTAAAATTTCCACTGCGCATTCCACCGCACGCTGATCTTATTCATTTTTACTGAAATAACCCAATGATAAACACTAAACAACAACTGGGTAGAGCTTGGATTCATATTGTGAATATAATCCATTTCACCTGAGGTAAAGAATAGGTTGGTAAGCATGCTTGCTAACAAAGAAGTATCAAACTGAAATGAATCCGTGCTGGACAGTATTTACTGTTAGCTTAAATATGATGATCCTGATATTACTAGTTTCTTGTGAACGTTGATCAATACAGACACAATGTATTGGAATGAGCCACTTGGATGGCTTCAGAAAATCGTTGATATTACATGTAGTGAACAAAATCGCTCGACAACATTATATACGACTCTAAATCTTAGAAACATGAAATCCAATGATATGTTGGCTGACAAGATTAAAAATTTGATCAATACAGCAATATGATTGTCGGTGAAGCCTATTGCAAATCTCGCGTCTTTCCTCATTCTCTTAGGCTTAATGACCTCCTAGTTTAGGCATGAGCTTGTAAATGTTGTGTCAAACCCTTTCTAAAATATGCAAGTGAGATTTGGCATTCTCATCAGAAACATGATAGTGATCGGTTAGGAATGGTCCTCATTACAATCGCTCTTCATAAACTTAAATCAACGAAGACAATTTGGAACATTTTATCTATTCATTTACACCGAAATTATAATTCACTGCGGAGTTAGTATTATCACCATGTCACGAATATTCCTTAGTTTCAGCAAAATATATATGTTTTCAGACGATTTTGCTTATGTTCAGAGGATCAGACAACTTCTGAAGGTATCGCTGGGCAGCGCGTATTTCAATTCACTGAATCTATATTGATCAATCTGTACATTACATTATCAGTAACAGGGTAACCATCTTTAAATCAGCGCTGTCCTCATGTCTGTCCACGAACATAGTGATTTCTTCACACCGTCGAATTTCCCAGGTTCTTTAGTTTCAGAAAAATACATGTCTTGTCGAGCGATTTTGCTTACTCCAAGAAGTATTGATGCTTTTCTGATGTTACCTCACGAATCCAACAGAACCTCTAGATTCAGAATATTAAAAATTTTACTGAGCAATTTGGCTTAGTTGAGGAGATATAGGCATTTTATTAATACTATCTCTGGTGCCACCTTCAAGGCTACCGTAAGCTCAAGTTTGCCCACTAACATATGAATTTTTTTGCATCAGTCGATCCAGCTGGATCTCTTCATACAGGAAAACATATATCTTATCGAGCGATTTTGTTATCCTGAGTAGACATAGCCATTTTCTAGAGATAGTCTCAATTCAATAGCGCAGTCGCGCTCATTCTTACAAATTGATCACTATAGAGCAATCAATACGTTCATATCGGCAATAGGCTGATTGCGATCCTCGAGCTAACCGTCTTCTCAGTTTTCACCGTTCGATCCAGCAGAACCTCTAGATTCAGAATATTTAAAATTTTGCTGAGCAATTTGGCTTAGCTGAAGAATTTCCCGTTTTCAATGCAACCGTACTCTCAGGTGTGCTCAATAGCATATGAAATTCTTGTAACCGTTCGATTAATCAGAGTCAATACTTTCTGAATATCATATATTTCGCAGAACATAGTGATAGAATATACATGAATGAGCGATTTTGCACTTGCTGTTGAGATATCTTCATGAAAATAGCCATAATTACTCAAGAAAGCCGAACTGCTCAGCAAAACATATGATTTGTGAATGTAAAGATTCCGGTGGATCGAATAGTGCACACAAACTCAGATATTATTGGGCAGAGCTGAGGGTACGGTAGGTTTGAGTATTCCCACAGTCTTGTTATAGCTTTAAATTAACGGCTGCATCTTCTCAAGTCAGGAGAATTGCCCGACAATGTATATGATATTCTGAATTCAGAGGTTCTGAGCAATCGATTGGTGCACAACAATTGATATGTTATTGGTCAAACTTGAGGGTAACATTAGAAGTAAACAGCATAAAGAAGTAACTATTAAAGATAAATTTCGAAAGTTGCTGTTTTACTGAAAAACTTTCCTCAAATGAAGAGGCTATAATACTAACTATTCCATTCGAGTGGACTGTTTGAAGTTATCGAGTATCTTTTTAGCACTAGTGATGAATGATAACTACACTGGCAAAGGACTTAAGGATATCATCATAGAACCAACGGCAGTACTAACCCCAGGGTCAAATGACTACGGTAACCAACCACGCCTCCAGCTAATGCCTACAATAGGAGTAGTATCCCCAGGGTCAAATGACTACGATACTAGCCACGCCCCCATTGAATGCAACCAATAGGAGTAGTAGCCCCGGTGTTAAATGACTGCGGTAACTATTACGCCCACAGTTAATGCAACAATCATCCACTATTCGGCAATCTGAACGAAAGCCATCAGCTGAGTAATGCCAACTCAGCACAACATTCACGTGAGGCAGTCAAAATCATCGCTTCACCATACTTCCCGAACGATTATGACGAATTGGAAGTGCTCGACACGAAACATTTGAAAGCCGGTGCTGTGGTTCGAAATAAGGAAGATCGTGAACTACTGCATGGTTATGAATGCTAATGCTGCGCGTCATACTACAACGGTCTCGGATTGAACACTCAGCAACGAGTGGATCGAAATAATCAGGTATCTATCTGTCACTTCATTTCAGGAGACCAGTTTTAGCTGGATCAGTCAGTTTCTGGCTCAGATTTAGTTGAAATCGACGGCAGTGTGATATTTTGCTGGATCACTGTCAATTGCTTACGATTTGTGTGTTGTTTATTACCTACTATTTATCAATTGTTACCTGCTTGAATCCGCTATATGTTGTATACCAGAACTGCAGAAAGTTATCACTCCCTTCAAGATTTCGACCAAACTAGCATTCATTTCTGTAAATCTGGATACTTCCAGAGGAGAAACCGACCGGCACCAAATATTTTTCAACAGTTTTCAGCAGATTCTCTTTCCTAACACTATTGAAACACTAGTATCATCAGCGTATCACGAACTCAATTTGGAGACATGAATTTGATTTGCTTGTGCATAATGTTAATGTGCTATTCATTCCCTAGCTAAAATTATTGTGTTCATTCTCGACTCATGTTTATTGTGCTTGATAAAATTTGGTCTATTTTCTCTAAAACAACCCCTAAACTGAGCCTAAACGCGATCTTGCTTTTTTTACGTTAGTATGCTAACTGGATGAGTTTAATTATGCTAGTGGTAACAGTATTGCATTACAGCGAGTGTTGATCAGACGGTTGGCCCATTGCGAGAAAATGCGTAGAAATGATGAAACAAATGAATAAGAGGAACAAACAATGCAAGTTTGACTTGGTTTCAAAATTCGCAACCTTACACTGCCTTACAATTGGATTCGTTCCAAGAGCGGGAATTTAAAAATTTTAGAAATAAACGTCACGAACAACCCATCCTGACCGTTTTGGAAGGGGGCCCACTGACCGCTAGACGGGTACCGAAGTGCCGTTTCGCTGTCAGGGTCCCCAGAGAAGAAAAGCCTGACTTCCAGTTCAACGTATCTTCGGGTAAAAGACGTCTTATCAGCCCTAACTATTCCGAGCTGACAAGCCATTTACTACCCAAAGCACCAGAGCGATGGCTGTCATTCGATTAGCACAAACACTTCTCCAAACCCGCCCAATTCTCGCGAAAACACTGACAGCCTCGACCTCTGGCTGCAACTGGAAATCAGGTGGAATCGAATACTGTCTAGCTAGTGAATACCCCGCCGTTACTAGTGACCCAAATTCCATTATGCAAAAAATAAAGATTGACACAGCCGTCCATAGACAGTGGATGACCCTACGCATGCGGAAGTCATTCACTAGCCGAACAGTGCCGATTGAAAGAGCTCTTCATAACCGTAAGAAGTGGCCGGAATGCGAGATTCCTTAAAGGGCTCTTTCAAAAACGAAGAACAACAATGAAAATAAACGAAAAATAACAATGGAAAAAAACGAAAAACAATTACTAACAGTGTTTTGCAATAGGAAATTTTCAAAATGGCTTCTCACATCAGTATTTCGATAAACCTTTAAATTTCAAGTTCTTAGTCCTCAACTGCGATGCAAAAAACTGTGTTGAGACTAGAATCTATACTGCACCTTAATCTCCTCGAATTTTTCGACCCAAAACTACAAGAGTTGCCATTACGACAATCCTAAATCGATACTCGTCGATTCTTTCAAGCTGTTTCGATGTGATGTGTGGTAACACGTGGAAAAATATTTATGCAACTGTCGCGCCACGCACCGTTCATATTTTCAAATTTATCATAATCTCGGCAATATTATGAGCTTACGTCCAGGTAAGAGCTTAGAACTTGAGCCTGTCCTTATCATATGACATCCGAATAGTTTTTGCAGGGTTCTCTACGCACTTTGCGATTCTGTCTCAATCATGAAACACCATCATATCATGTCTAGCAATGCCTGCCTTCGTTATGCCTGGCGCGACAACATCAAACAGAGCACGAAAACATGAAATAATCACATCAACAGCAACAACAACAACAACAGAACACTCAAACAGATATTGATATCAACACGAGATGTAAATGCTTACATCCAATCGGACATCCAGAAGAAGATAACATTAAAAAAAGAATATTTTAAATACAAAATAGAATCAAGCGAGCTGAATTCATTTCGGATCAACACAAAATTAGTTTGAGATCGAATTAAGCTATTGTTAAGTGAAGCTTGACTGAGGTCCTGTATCCGCCTACACAATGGATGAGGGCAATCCGAGGAATGCTACCTGCCTTTCTACTCCTCAATTTGTCATCTGAGTGTTAGATTTATAAACTATGAAAGAATTTCATGATATTACCTCAAAACTACTATTTCCAAAACATCTTATTGGGAACATACAAATCAGCTCATTCTAACCTTGAGAAGGCATTGTGCTAGCAACGAAGAGAAAATTCTAACCTAAGCACAGATCGAACTGCAGTCATCCAATTCAACCCTAGCCCACGACGTAAGCTCTCGAAACTGGTCAGTTATTTTAAAAAAAACAGAAGCGATGACTCATGAAGTACCTTATTAACACATATGATGNTAATGACAGACAATAACTGCACTGGCAAGGGAAATAAGGATTGCATCATAGAAGTGTATGAATGCCATCATGACACTAGCTAATAGATAAGCTTCGGCGAGTAACCACAAACACCTGAGAGATTTCTCCTCATAACGCATTTAATAACATTGGAAGTTTATTCCAGCTGTTATTAAACAGCACTACGAGGAAGACGTTTTTCGAGTCACCAGTCAGCAACTCGTCTCTTCAGGATGAGTGGTCCAGGCGAACTTTCCAGACCTACCGCTAACTTCATAAGGCTATTCATACCCTACGTTCATGAAACTTAGTTTTATAGGGATATTTTTCTTCCTTTGATATGCCAGTGTAGCTATCACAACAAAACTGAAGAACCTATATTGCCTCTCCTCTCATCTAAATGGATTTCTCAAAGTTATCAAGTACCTTATCAGCANTCTAGTTATTCAAAACCTGCTAATTGAATATTCCCCCATTAACAAACTGAGCAACTTATAATTCTTCTCCTCTCCTCTCATCTAAATGGATTTCTCAAAGATATCAAGTACCTTATCAGCACTAATGACAGACAATAACTGCACTGGCAAGGGAAATAAGGATTGCATCATAGAAGTGTATGAATGCCATCATGACACTAGCTAATAGATAAGCTTCGGCGAGTAACCACAAACACCTGAGAGATTTCTCCTCATAGCACATTTGATAACATTGGAACTTTATTCCAGCTGCTATCAAACAGCACTACAAAGAAGACGTTCTTCGAGTCACCAGTCAGCAACTCGTCTCTTCAGGATGAGTGGTCCAGGCGAACTTTCCAGACCTACCGCTAACTTCATAAGGCTATTCATACCCTACGTTCATGAAACTTAGTTTTATAGGGATATTTTTCTTCCTTTGATATGCCAGTGCAACTATTGACAACGCCTGCTACAGTTCCTGCCGTAACAAGCTAAATAACTATTCTGTTATGCAATACCTCCACCTCTAAGCAGTGACCAGTTCCGGGAGCTTATTCCTCAGCTATGAGTTTACTAGGCTACTGTTGTGTTGCGCGTAGATTACTGAATACTTCTCTGAATCGCATGCCTGAGTTTGATCAGATCAGTTCATGTGCGCATGAATTTACGAGAACTTGAAGTCGAATCCAGATCGAGGTCAGTCAATCTCAAGCGGTGTCGAATCCGCTAGATGGTACGTCAACTCAAGATAATTTGTGGTGAAAATCCAGTCAAGGCGTTTCAAAGTTTTTGCTCAGTGAGCTTTTAATACAGCTACAGTCTAGCTAGGTTAGGTTAATTTTGCGCCAAGTAGAACTAACATCAGAAAATGTGCTACTCTCATACAATGCTGGAGTCCAACAGGGTTCATGTAGTAGAATCCACTTTTGGGACAGGGGGTTGGGAGGAGAATGACGGTTGCACAAACGGAAAAAATTTTTCAATTAGGTGGGATGGGCCATACATAAGGCCAGTCCAAGTCCCTACCTCTGGCTCCAGAGTTGAGCGGGTCATCACGTGCCGCATCCCTCCTTCGCCCTACCCACAACCCTTGCAAAAAAGTTCATAATGTTGANTACATGACAATTTGTGGCATTAAACATCAGTACATATATACAAATCAATTGATTGACAATATCAAAGAATTAATAGAAAACAAAATTCGGTATTACAATTTCCCTTTGATATCGAATTCTTTCATATGACATTTTCTCATTTTCAATTGGATTGAATGAAAAATTTGGAGAATTTTCATTAAATTTTAGAATCGCCATCTATTAGAGAACCACTAAACTTGTACTGCCCGCTAAACTTCTCAGCTCGTGACAATACAGTGATAATTACATTAATAACAATAACATAATACAATAATAGCGCAACCAATATTAACAACTGAATTAAAAATCACTAAAAAAACCCCCCAGTTAAAACAAACGACGCATCAATAATATCTTTGGGAACATATTTCGATTAACAATGATAAGTTTAATAACATTCAACAATGCATCACAATATCTACCACTGTATTGTCATATCATGTGAACAATTTGGTTACAAATAAAGTTCGTTTACATGTAATTAAATATTCTGCACATCCAAAATAATTTACAATATTCATCAATGAATTAAAGAATAAAAGAATAAAGCATGCAAAAAAAGTGGTCACT